AGGTACTTAGGAGGCCTGAGGAGCACTTGAGCTCAGGAGGCTGAGGCTGCCTTAAGGTATGATTGTGCCACTGCATTCCAGCCTGGGAGGGAGAGAGACATGTCTCTTAAAAAAACAAAAACAACCCAATGCATATGGCCAGTGCCAGGTGAGCTGCCTGGGGGTGCACTTGAGGCAGGGGACAGTGGGGTCCCCTGGCTAGCCTAGGATTTGGGCCTGATTCCCCCACTACCCCTAGTGGTAGTCCCAGAGGATGCTGTGGACCCATCCCCATCCCCGTCAGCCCAGCCTGGCTGCAGCCCCAGCTCTCTTTTCAGAGAAGATCAAAGCTGGGCTTCCCAGGGTGCCTGGCTGGTGCCTGCTGGCAGCTTTGCGCTCTCTGACTCTTTATGGAAGGAATCTTGGCGCAGACGTTTGTGTTGCCTCTTCAGGCACCTGTTGATATAATTTACACCTTGATATTATTGTCTAATCTTTTGCCTGGATGGCTGCCTGAGACGTGTCTTTATTTTTATGGAAAAGATCAAGGCTGTCGGGCTCAGGAACCTGTGGGCCCCCTGGCGCAGGTTAGAAATGGGGTAGCCTCTTTGGCGCCACCTAGTGTCTGGTGCAGCCCATGACGGGGCCGTAAAAAGAAGGTCCCATTCACCGGGAAACACTGGGCTTTTGGGCACAGCGGGAATACAGCCTAAGAATGAATGAGACAATGTGTCAGTGAGCGCTAAGGGCTGCCTTGGAATGCGCAGAGGAGGGTCCGGTGAGTTCAAAGCAGTGGCCATGATGCGAAAGGAGGGCTGGGTCTTGGACAGGTGGAGGAGAGGAATGCTGAGTGATGGGGTGGCTGCCTGGGGATGCTTCACTCAGAGCAGTGGATGATGGGGACACAGATAAGATCAGAAGGGAGCTGTCAATGCCAGAAGTAGTTTGAACTTCACCTTCAGGCTCTGGGGACACTTTGTTTTGAGACAGGGTCTTGCTCTATTGCCCAGGCTGGAGTGCAGTGGTGCAATCTTAGCTCACTGCAGCCTCCACCTCCTGGGCTCAGGAGATCCTCCCACAGCCTCCCACGTAGCTGGGACTACAGGTGAGCACCACCACACCTAGCCAATTTTAAAGTTGTTTGTTTGTCTGTTTTTTGAGAGAGTCTTGCTCTGTTGCTCAGGCTGGAGTGCAGTGGTGCGATCTTGGCTCCCTGAAACCTCCGCCTCCCGGGCTCAAGTGATTGTCCTGCCTTGGCTTCCCGAGTAGCTGGAGTACAGGTGCCTACCACCACACCTGGCTAATTTTTGTATTTTCAGTAGAGACGGGATTTTACCATATTGGCCAGGCTGGTCTCACACTCCTGACCTTGTGATCCGCCTGCCTCGGCCTCCCAAAGTGCTGGGATTACAGGCGTGAGCCACCGCACTCGGCCTATGGGGACACTCGGAAGGTTTTTTTTTTTTTTTTTTTTTTGGGATGGAGTTTCGCTCTTGTTACCCAGGCTGGAGTGCAATGGCGCGATCTCGGCTCACCGCAACCTCCGCCTCCTGGGTTCAGGCAATAAGCAGAGAAGTGACAGGTTGGAAAAGATGGTTTGGACGTTTGGCGTGGACTTATTCCCACCTGTATGTAGCACGCCTTGCTGGGCCTGAAGTGTCAGAGGAGTGGAGGAGGAGAAGTGGGGAGAGGGCACATGTGAAATGGTGAGTATTCCAGTGAGCCGTGGGATGCCTTCCGAAGGCTTTGCTAGGTTCCAGCTCAAATCCCCCTCTGGCCCTGAGGATTTCAGCACCAGGTTCTCTGCAACCACACAATCAGCCCAGGCTCCAGAGGGAACTACCCCGGAAGAACGGAGTTAGGAGTTGGTCAGCAGAGGAGGCTGGGGCAGGCAGTCTTTGGTTTTTTTTTTAGCTCTGACCTTATCCCCACCCTAAGCCAGCTAGCTGCATGCTCCCACTCCCTCTTCTGTCTTCCTGACTTTGTCCCATGCAGTGCCCTCTTCCCTCCCTGCATTGAGGAGAATAACTGCAGAAGTGACAGATTTGAGTTAGAAGTGGCCCAAAGGAGCATCTGATACAAACCCTTTTGGTTAGAGAAGGGAAAGTGACTTTTCCGAAGCTGCACAGCTAGGCAGTCATAATGGGAGCAGTTTTGGTGTGCTAGGGATTTTTTCAAGGCTTTCACTCACTTAATTCTCACAACCCGGAGATAGGTACTGTTAACCTCTCCGCAGATGAGGAAACCAAGGACTGGGAGGTTCAGTAACTGGTCCAAGGACTCCTAGCTAGTTAGAAATGGATCTACAGCCTGCCTCCTGGGTTTCTGGCTTGTGGGGGGCAGAGTTTATCCCTCTGTCATTGGAGGCAGCCTTCCAGGCACAGCTCTGGCCACCTCTGGTCACAAATGGAGGCTACCTGAGAGCCCTTCCCAGCCCTCTCTAGGCTCTTAGCTTTGTGCTTCCTCCCACAGGGACTAGCTCCAGCTGAGCTTGCAGGAGAGCCGCTTCCTGGAGCCAGGACTTCCCCATGGGAAGTGCAGGGGCCGCTGGGCACTGCTAGCCTCTGCCTGAGGGCTGACTGTGCTCAGGCCACTGTCTGTCTCAGGAACTCATGGTGGTGGCTTCCCTTGTCAGGAGTGCGTGGAGGGAGTGGCTGTGCTGCCCCTCTCATTCCTTCAAGTGCAGAGAGCCCTGGCTTGGGGCTGTGGCTGCCACCCCACTATGAGTGTTGGGTCAGATCCATCAGATACCGCTTCCCCCCTCCACCCCCATCCCTGCCCACCGCCAGGGCTCAGGCTGCTCTGAGCTGGTCCCAGCCAGGACACATCTGCATGTGGGAGTGGGAGGGTGGGGGGTGCGCCACAGCCTGGAGGGGAGTGTGTGTTGGGGTGTGTGTGTATGTGTAAGTTCTTTTGAGTCACACACAAAGCGTTGTGCTGAGACATTGCATTCCTGCTGGCTGGGCTTCCTGTTTCCAGATGCATTCCTGCCCCAGAGTCACCACGGAGACTGTTTGGAATCCCGCCTCACATTCTCCAAATTCAGGGCGCGATCTGGCAAAGGCTCCTTCCCCACCCTTTTACTTTGGAGGGAGTCTGGTCTCCCTCCTACCCAGGGAGGGCTGGCAGGGCTCTGGCATGGCCAGGGGTGTGATGACACATCTCGATGGCCTTGCGTGAGGCAGTTCCTGGAGGCCCAGCACTCTGGTTCCCTCTGCCTGTGAGGAAGCAGAGTGGGGACTGTCTAGGAAGACAGGGCTGGGAGGGGGCAGCCCAGAGGACCCATGGCTAGCAGGGAGGGGCGTAGGCTAGAGTAGGACAGTGCTGAGACATGGCCAGCAATTCCTGCACTTTGCTCTTATTTTGCCGGCTTACTCAGAGCTTGGCTGTGGGCCTCAGTTTCCCCGTTTTATAAAATTTTAAAATCTGATAGTTTGTGGCTCTCGGATGAAGGCCCCACAGTGGGTGTTTGGGGACCGGTTCTAGAAAGGAGCAAAGGGAAGGGGGTGCACAGACTGCTTTATGTCTCCCAGTTAAGAGCCACTTCCTTCCAGTGGCTCTGGCTCCAGCCGCCCCCTTCCCAGGTGCAAGTCTGCACGTCCGCCTGCTCCCTTATCTGCCTCAGGGGATTTGGGTCCTGCTGGGATTTTTCCAGCCCTGGCCCCTCCCTCTGGTGGAGGCCCTTTCCTTAAGAGGCCACCGTCCCCAGTCTGGTCACCACCTCTCTCATCTTCAGTAGCTGCTTGGGCTCCTTTTAGGAGGGGGAGTGAGTGGTGGAATCCCACGGGCCAAAGCAGGGAGCGGAGAGGTGGGAACTGGGGGACATTTACACTTTGGCCCAGTCTTCAGGCAGCTCCCCGCTGGCTCGCGTCTTTCCAGATCTTGAGACCTATCCAGTCCGCAGCTTTAGGGAACCCGGGACGAGAAAGAGGCAGGGGACTGGGAGGGTGTTCTGATCTTTCCGAGAACACACGCGCGTCCTGCAGTTGTAAAGGATTTCCCAGTGGGCAGGAATCGTTTCCCCTCCTATCGCCCAGGTTTCCAAGCGCCCAAGGGACCGGCCCCAAGCCACAAGGCTGGGGAGGGCCAGGTGCCCGCGTCCTGTTCAGCGCTCTTCCCACGGCCGGGACGTGGGGCTCCATTTCCTTCCGGGCTCTTGTCCCGTCCTCCGGCCAGCCCCGCCGGCTCCAAGTCCGCGGCAGGAAGACAGACCCTGCGTGTGAACCCGGGGGGCCAGCTCCTCGCAGAACAGCGGATCTGGACCCTTATTTTGGCCTCGGCCAGAGTTGGGGGCGCTGCCCACTGCGTGACATCGGGGTGCTGGTCGAGTCTGCCTGTGCTTGGTCACCACGCCGCCTGCACCCTCTACCTGGCGCCCTTCACATCCCTCGCCTCGCCGCTTCTCTTCCTCTCCTCGCCCTTCCCCTCCCTCTCCTCGCCCCTCCCTTCCCTCGTGTCGCCCCGCCCCCTCTTCGCCCCGCCCCTCTCTCCCCCTCGCCCCTCTTCCCTTGTCTCGCTCCCCTCCCTCGCCTCGCCCCGCCCCTCCCCCGTGTCGCCCCGCCCCTTTCTCTCTTCGCCCTGCCCCTTTCTCTCTTCGCCCCTCCTCTCTGTCTCCTCGCTCCTTCCCTCTCTCCTCGCCCCTCCCTCTCTCCCCTCGCTCCTCCCTCTCTCCCCTCGCTCCTCCCTTTCCTCGTCTCGTCTCGCCCCTCCCTCGTCTCGCCCCGCCCCTCCCTCGTCTCGCCCCGCCCCTCCCTCGTCTCGCCCCGCCCCTCCCTCGTCTCGCCCCCCTCCCTCCCCTCGCCCCGGCCTTCCCCTGTGTTGCCCCGCCCTTCCCCTGTGTCGCCCCGCCCCTTTCTCTCCTCGCTCCTCCCCTCTGTCTCCTCGCCCCTCCCCCTCGCCCCTAGCCCCTCCCCTCCCTCTTTTCGTCCCTCCCTTCCCTCGTCTTGCCCCTCCTCTCCCTCCCTCTTCCCTCCCCCTAGGCCCCGCCCCCTCCGCTCCGTCCTCCGCCCCCCTAGCCCGGCTGGGAGTATCAGGGGGCCGCGCCCAGCTGGGTCTGGACGGGCGGGCGCTGAGCTTCCTGAGCGCGGCGGGGCCTCGCGCCGGGATCCTCCGGCGGCTGCAGCGGCCGGGGCCGGGGCCGGGAGCAGGCCATGCTGGGCCGGCGGCGCGCCTTCGCCGTGGACGGCCGGGGTGAGTCGCCCACCCCCAGGATGGCCGGGACCCCAAGCCGGGCAGCCCCCGCCGCCTCCCGCCCCCAAGCCGGGCAGCCACTCTTAGCTCCTCGCCCAGCGCGGCGCACCCTGCGGGCAGCTCCTGCCCCGCTGCGCCTCCCTCACCGCCTCCCTCTGGAGGGGCGGTCGTCAGGGGACGCCTCGCAGGCTGGAGCTCCCCTGGGCTCTGGCGTTAAACCACCACCGCCTCCGCCCCACTTCCTCAGGCTCCGCTTCCCTCGCCTTCCCGCTCCGTCTGAGGATGTGGGAATCCGCCCGCGCCACAGCCGGCAGTTCCGCAGAGCCCCCTCCGTGGCTGCGGACACCTCTCCCACCCGGTGACCTCCTGCCCCACTTCCTTGCCCAGAGGGGCCCGGGTGGGCATCCGGCTCCTGCGTGCCCCGCAGCTCGTCCCCCCAAGCCCATTTCCCGCACCCTTCATTCCGCCGGGACGCCCCGTCGCCAGAGGGCCTGCGGAGGTGACAAAATCTTCACTATTCTCACTTAGAACAAAAGCCCAAATCGTTTCTAGCTGTGATTTTTATCCTCCTCCCCGTGAGCTGCAGGAGCGGCTTCATCTGGCATCCTGCGGAGGCCCCCAGAGCAGACTGGGTCCCAGACTTTCCTCTTTGTACCCCCCACCTCTCCCTGAAGCTGGGCACAGTCCTACCCCCGCTTGGGGAGCAGTGGAAGAGCCTGGGGCTCCCCACTTCTGATTTGGAGATCGCGGGCGGATCCTAGCTAGGTGGGGGGCACAGACCAGGCCGTCTAAGGGATTGATGGACGTGGCCTGCCAGGGCTTTGCCTGCCACACAGCCCAGAGCACGGGTTCCCTGTCGCTAACACCTATTGTGAAGGGAATCCCATCCACACATCTCCCAAACAGCCGTGGCCATGTCCGGGCGGCTGTGGCTGTCCAGTGGCCGTCCTTCCTCACTGGTCTAGGACACTCCTCCCGGGGGCAGTCCTGCCAGCCGCCAGGAATGCTGGGGGTGTTGGGGGTGGCCTGCCCCGCCTGACACTGACTCTCCCTGCAGATGGGGCTGGCGAGGGCCTGGCACGGGGCTGCATAGTGCCTGGAGTCACCAGCACCTACAGACGGATCCCAGACACTGCCCACTGGTGCTCATCCTGGGAGAGAGGTGACAAGCTCAGTGGTGTCGGCAGGGAGGCACAGTTTCTCAAACTGGCCTCCCGGGACTCAGGAGTGGAGATGGCAGTTGGGGACAGCCCCCTGGCCGCCCTACCGGGCCTTTCTCAGGACTCCCTGGACTTTGAACCCTCAGGGAGTCCTGAGCCCCTGGCCCAGGTAGGCGGGCTCCCGGCCAGCCAGAAGCTGGAGCAGGTGCTGGAGCGGTCCCACCGGCTCCCAGCAGCTCCCGCCGGCTTATCAGGACACCGCCCCCTGCAGCCGCCAAGCAAGCCAGAGCGTGAAGTGCCCCTTTTTGGAGCAGGAGAACAGGAGTCTACGGAGGCAGACACGGACCTAGAGTCAGGCCTGGAAGAAGAGGCGGTGAGTGCTGATTCGCAGGCTGGGTTTGAGAGTCGGACGGACAGCCTAGCTCCTCTGGTTCTCCCTGGAGCTCTCTCGGGGTGGGGCACTCCCTGCCCCTAATTGATGGGTTGTGTCAAAGCTTCCTGCTGCACCCCACTTCCAGCTGTGTACAGCCACCCCCACAGAGGAGCTGGGCAGCTACAAGCCCTGCCTGGCATGCCCCCCTGGGCAGTGGGGAAGCCAGCTGTGTGTGTTCCTCCTTGGGGCCCACTCTGCTCCCATCTGCTGAATGAGCCCAGCCTGGCTGCTTGGGGCAGGACAGGAGCCAGGCTGAAACCCCCCCTATCTCATGATGACCCACAGGTGGGGGGCCTGGGGCCTGGAGCCTGGGCCTGCCTCCCCGGGCAGGGTCTTCGATATCTCGAACACCTGTGTCTGGTGCTGGAGCAGATGGCGAGGCTCCAGCAGCTCTATCTGCAGCTTCGGATCCAGAGGCTCCCAGGGGTAAGTAAGATGTGAGTGGGGACAGGCCAGTGAGTGGGGGCGGGGGCAGAGGACAGATGGGAACCCAGGAACTGTGGCTGCCCTCAGGAAACCTGTTGTGAGGTGATCAGGCCCTCAGAACAGCCTCAGCCCTCTAGCCAGACCCTAATCACCTGTCTCTTCTGTGCACAGGATCCCGACGGGGAGGAGTTGGCCCGAGCCGCTTTACCGTCCCTCTTACACACCCAAGGCAATGGGGGGCAGGGGCCATGGGAGCTGCTAAGCCAGACAGAGCAGACAGGTGAGGGGCCACTGTGTCTCCCTTTGTCCTGCCTGCCTGGGGTCCAACCAGCAGGTCCTCTGAGCCGAAGCTTGATGGGGTGTCTTCTGGCCCTTGCCCTGGGTAACTTGACTCTCTTTCTGAAGGGGCAAAGGCTGCTTCACCCCCAAAGGTGGAGGTGCCCAGTGCCAACCCTCCCAGGCTGCCAGAAGCCCCAGTGGAGCCAATGTACCACTTGCCGTCTTCCCAGGGATACAAGGTAGGGGACGGGTGTATGTGGGCAGGTGGTGGGTTGGGGGGAGGGGTGGTGGGGATGCATGGGCACCCTGGGGGCCAGCAACCCTGGGGAAGTGGCAGGATTGATTCCTGTTCGGAGCAAGCGACTCATCCTAGCTGCGGTGACAGCTGTCTCTGGGAGCTTGGTCCGGGGTCCGAGTGTGGGGGGCTCTTGGTGATCCCTCGTCCTCTGCTCAGCGGGATATCTCCCACTGGGACAAGGTCAAGGTCCTGCTCAACCGGATCTGCCGGAGAAGCCACCACCACCCTGAGCCCCCTGCCCCTCCTGATGGCTCTGGCCCCAGGTGAGCCCCGTGCTTAGCCAGGTTAGGGCAGGGAGAGGAGATTGATGAGCCAGAATGCTGAGATTGTCATGCCAGCTGCCATTATTGCCCCTGAGAAACTGGAGAGGCAGTCTGGAAGGGGGTGCTGGAAGAAACAGAAAGTAGGTAAAACGCCATTTACAGATAAGGATGCTGGGTTCTCGGTGGGGTGGGGGGTAGTTGCTCTTCCAAAGCCACATGGTGAGTCAGTGACAGTCAGGATCAGAATGTGGGAAACCTGCCTACCCTAGCTCAGCAAGCCCTCACCCCTCAATGCTGACATTTAGGTCACCTCCCAGGTTTTTGGGGAGAGCAAGGTGTGGAGCACAAAGTATTTCACAGTGGGTGAAGGCCATCATGCCGAAGGGCTTATGTACTGAAGAGTTCTCCAGGGGGAAGAAGTACCAAGTCATTTAACAGCCCCAGGCCACACCCCCCATTGCCTCTCAGCCATTACATAAATCATGTTCTCTCAACTCTGGGGCCGTCGTTTTATTTCCTCCCTCTGGCCTAATGTCTTTTCATTTCCACAGGATCGAGTCCAGGGACCTCCCTGAAACGCCTCAGTGCCACCCCCACCAGAAGACCTTTATGCCGTCATTAGTGGTTAAGAAGCAACGAGCAAAAAACCTTTCTGTATGATGAGACCTCTCGGTGCACCTGGTTACCCTGGGTGGAGGGGACTTGATGCGAAGTCTTCCTCGCCCTTTGCCCTGTTGCTGCTTCTCTGCACTGCCAGGAAAAGCTGCTGATGGCTGCCCTCCTCTCTGAGTCGAGGGCTGAATCTTTGTCCTCTAAGCAGTCTGGTCAGGAGCTCTGGTTTCTTGTGACGCTCCTAAGATGCAGCAGCTGCAGGGCCCCTCCTCCTCACCAGGAATCTCTGGGTTTCCACAATGTGAACTCACTCATGATCAGATGTCTGTGGAGTGTTTTTGGCACGGTGACTTGTCTGGGCCCAGCATGTTGCAGATGTGTATTTATGCACAATGGTATGCATATCTCTGTGTGACTGTCAGTGTTATAAGCTGGTTGGATCCTACCATCTCTTCTGATACAATACATCCAAAGGGTTGATAATATGGGCAAGGTCACTGCAGAAGGATGGAACTGACCTTTATTCCCCAGTGGGCAGTTACTGAGCTTTCCTCCTCAGAGCCAGGCATCCCTGGGACAGAGAACAGTGTGGCCTTGGCTGCCTCTGCATGGAGTCACCCAGGACCCCTGAAGACTGCACCAGGAATGAGGAAGATCAGGAGCAACATGGGAACAGAAGAATAACTTTCAAAACCAGTGCTCAGCTTTTCTGCTCCGTACGAGCGTTTACTGGTCCTAACTCAAACCAGGTGACTGTACTAGTTCTTAGACCCTAAGTTAACCTTTCTGAGCCATAGCTTCCAGCTGGGAACAATGATGCCTGCCCTACCTACCTCACAGACTTGTTATGAGGATAAAGTGAGATTAAACTGCCTCAAAGTACTTTGTGAACCTTAAGTGAATAGGAAAAGGCTGGAGGGATGATGAGGAGGTTGGAGGATAAGGGGAGCCTGGGATTGCTAATGGGGACTAAAATGGCCAGTCTCCTGGCAAGATTTTGAGCAGTTAATTTCATTGAGGCCTCGTAGGTTTCATCTTTGATAATTAGGGCACTGATTCCTGACTGCTTACCCACCAGGATTGGAGTGGAGTGCGGTCAATGGAACAGCAGCCTAGGCATGCAGGTCACTGGCTTAAGACACAGGAATGTCTTTTAGAAATGGCAACTGATAGGCATCCTCCTCCTAGTGTCAGGAGGGGCTGGTTCTCATGCCAGTTCCAGTCTCGACTGCCAGAGGGAGGCGGGGGTGGTAGGTAGTCGGGGGCTCTTTGTGTTTGGAGGTCCCGGCTCCCGCCGCTTTTGAGCCCGGAACCAATGATCCGAGGCCGTCTTTTCTGATGGGAATTCTTTAGCGAGGACACTACCGACGCGCTACTTCCTGACGCGCATCCGATCCGGGAAGGCGCACTTCCGCTCCCCAGCTGCCGCGGGCTGGCAGGCCAGCGTGGGGGAAGGGAGAGGTCGGTGGAGAAGAGGGAGGGACCATATCCGGGAGAGTGGCAGCTTCCGACCAGTGGTCGCGCTTCCGGAGAGGAGCTTCCGGTGGCGGCGGCAGCAGCGGCTGTGGTGGTTCCGGGTGTCTTTGTCCCCCCAGTGTCGCGGCCCTGGCCCGCAGGTGGGTTGGGGGACCCCCGGCCGCCCTTCTGCCCATTCGCCCCTCCGCTGGCCGAGGGGCTGCGAGGGCCGGGCGGCGAAGATGCGTTGGGCGCGGAAGGGGCCGAGCCCCTCTTCGGACTGCAAGTCCCGTCTCCCTGGCAACGGCCTCGGCCTTGGGGGCGGGCGGGAGGAGGAGAAACCGCGCGCCTCCGTCCTCCCCCGGTGGCCTCGCCGCGGCCCTGCCGGGAGACCTTGGTGCTGGCGGCTGCTGAGGCCGGAGCGGAGGGCCCGGGAGCGTGGGAGCAGGAGGGTGGCGCTCAGCCGGTTTTGCCTTCGGTCGACCAGGGAGCTGCCTTCCCACCAGCGGGTCGGGGAAACAACGGGTCGGGCTTCCGGGGAGAGGGTCCACACCATCTCCTCGCCGGCACCGGCCTCCTCCATTTTTCCGGGCCCTGCGTGGAGGGTTTTGGCGGATGTTTTTGAATGAAGGAATGTCATCGGGGCTGTCCCCAGCCCCTCACCCCGCCAACTACTCTAGGGGTGGCGTGGCATAGTGAGAGGAGCGCTAAGTTTTTGGGAGACCTGGGTGTGAGTACCAGTTTTGTCACTACCTGGTTATGTAGCCCAGGGAAAGTCTCTTATTCTCTCTGAGCATCAGTTTCCTCTTCTGTAAAACAGCATGACAATATCACCTACCACTAAGTTATTCTGAGGGCAAACTGGAACAATGTAATTTGTTGGTTGGTTTCTTGCTTCTCTGTATTCTCTCTATCCATTACCTTCATTCATTCTCATTACCCACCTCCCTGCTTTCGTTAATATCCTTACTTCAGATTCCCCACCTTTCCAGGGGTAGATGGAAATTTCCCGTATGAGCTGTTAACTTCTCTTTTTTTGGATCTAAGGCTTTCCCCACGACTCTGAAAGAGGACAGCGTTCCCAATGTCCCAGTTTAAGCGCCAGCGGATCAACCCGCTTCCAGGGGGACGCAACTTCTCAGGTGATCACTTTCCTCCCTACCTAGCCTCATACTGGGAAGTATGTGCTCTGAAGTTAGCTTGGGGTTTCCCTGGTGGAGAGCAATTTGCTGCTGATGTTCCTTTGGAAAACAGGAGATCCCTGCATTGGCTGCCAGTGAAGCCCTGTGGAGGAGCTGGCTGGAGCTCTAGCCTTCGGATTTACCACACCCTTTGGTTGACTCTAGTGCTTAAGGTGGTAGGTGAGGTTCCTGGAGATTGCTTTTCTTTCCCCGTAGGCACAGCTTCAACATCTCTTCTGGGACCTCCTCCTGGTTTGCTCACCCCTCCTGTGGCCACAGAACTGTCCCAGAATGCCAGGCACCTTCAGGTAGGTTGGGCATCCCTCGTAGTGAATTTCAAGCCTTTTGGACTGAATGCGTGGAGGCCTGGTGCTCTTCATCTCTTACATGATAGTGTTTATCATTCCTGACCCTTCTGGAAGTGGGCTAGTGTGGGGTTGACTAGATAGCCTTCAGCCTGGGGCATCTTCATTTTTGGTGCCAGGGAAATCTTTAGCACATCTCTTGGAATTAAAGAACTGGAAATCCGAGAAGCAGCTTGTGTCAAGAACCAGCTCAAATCTACTCCATTCCCTAATGATGAGAGTACGCCCACCATACACCTGTGCTTCACTCTGTGTGAACTCTTCATGCAGTATGCTGAGCCAGGGCGTGGATGGAGATGAGACCTTCATGGCACAGTTTGATTTTTGTCCAGCTTCCTCCCTTTTACTTTTCCACTGCCCTCTTCTTTTACAGGGTGGGGAGAAACAGCGGGTCTTCACTGGTATCGTTACCAGCTTGCATGACTACTTTGGGGTTGTGGATGAAGAGGTCTTCTTTCAGCTAAGGTAGGCTTGAGGCTGGTCCCCTACTGGAAACGCTTATTGGGTTCAGTTCTGTTACCTTGCTGGTATTGCCCCCACCCTACTCAAAGCCATTGCTTTGCTGTTTTTATGCAAGGTGTGGGAAATACTGATGGGAAAGGCCTCATAGGGACAGTTAGGGTGGCTTGGCCGGGGTCCCTCTCCTGACGAGGCCTCCTGGCTTGTGTGCTGGCAGTGTGGTGAAGGGCCGGCTACCCCAGCTGGGTGAGAAGGTGCTGGTGAAGGCTGCATACAACCCAGGCCAGGCAGTGCCCTGGAATGCTGTCAAGGTGCAAACGCTCTCCAACCAGGTATTCATCTCTCCTTAGTACGTGTGCTGGAAAGGGGAGGGATGGAAGCTCCTGTGCCCCGACAGTGGGGCAAAATCCTGACTTTTGTCAAGGGGTTAGGACTGCATCTTTCCAAGGTAGTGAGTGCCTCAACCATGGGGTCTCCTGAATTTCCTGTCTCCTGTTCTGCAGCCCCTACTGAAGTCCCCGGCACCTCCCCTTCTGCATGTAGCAGCCCTGGGCCAGAAGCAAGGGATTCTGGGAGCTCAGCCTCAGTTGATCTTCCAGCCTCACCGGATTCCCCCACTCTTTCCTCAGAAGCGTGAGTACGAGTGGCAGTGTTGTTGGGTGTGGCTTTATGGGTACTCTGGATCAGTGGACTTGTCACTTTCAGGTTGCTCTCAGCAGAGAGGTGGGTACTTCTGTGTACTGGAAGAAAGGTGGGCGATCTGGACAAGTTTTTAGGGTTTTTGAGTCACCAGCCATTTCCTTTCTGCAGCTCTGAGTCTCTTCCAAACATCCCACACACTTCACCTGAGCCACCTGAACAGATTTCCTGCCCGGGGCCCTCATGGACGGTTGGATCAGGGCCGAAGGTAAGAGGATGACGTCCCTGTTTTGGTCCACTTTTTGACACTAACGTTCTCTTTTTTTTGCGTTGGCCAGGAGGTGAACCCAGGTCAACTGTTTGGAAGATGGCTGTGCTTAACGACTAACATTCTTTATCTGCAGCTAGACGTTAGTCCCTTTTCTCTGAAGTACGTAGACACATTAAAATGCATATACAAACATTGGAACTTTATACAGTGGTTTAGTAAGCAGGGAGTTGATATAGTTCATCTTTCAAAATGTCAGATTGAGATACTTCTTAAATATGCTTCTCTTGTTTATGGTCCTTAAGTTGAAATACCAAGAATGGAAACTCTTTAGTAGTAACATGTCAAAAGTAACACTGCAATGTCTGTTTTAGTTGTCTGTTTAAAATGTTTCTTTACAGACACACTCTTAAGTATGCTGTTAGAAGGTGTATATTGCACTCTGGGAGTTCGGGCCTCCATGCCTTGGATACTCAGTTAGCCTTCTCAGCTATGTGAGGAGCAGGCATGGCTGATTTGGGCCTTTAGGGTATCCTGGGTGATCCTATTTCATCTGTAGCATTGGGGACCACCAGGAACATACTGTCCCGTCCCCTCTGCAGTTCACATGTTCCTTCCTCAGTCTCACTCTGAGAGTGTTTTGCTTTTATCTCTAAAAGTTAAGCTCTAGACTAATTTAAGACCTCTTCTAGTTCATTTTAAACTTATTATAATGGAGAATGTTAGTACATGCAAGGTAAACAGAAAGGTATGATGAACCTTATATACCCATTACCCAGCTTCTTCAACTATCAGCTATCGTTTTTCATCTCTACCTCTGTCTGCCCACTGATCCCACTTGATTTTGTTAAGGTAAAAAATTTTAAGGTGGAACTTACGTAGATTGAGATGCATAAATCTTAACTAGACAATTTTGACAAATGGGAAATCTCATGTAACCATTACCCTTATTATTATTTTTTTTTTGAGACGGGGGCTGGAGTGTATTGGCATGATCATGGCTCACTGCAGCCTTGATCTCCCTGGTTGAAGTCATCCTCCTGGCTTGGACTTCTGAGTAGCTGGGATTGCAGGTGTACACCACTACGCTTGACTAATTTTTTTTTTAAGCCAGAATTTCATTCTTATTGCCCAGTTTGGAGTGCAATGGCACAATCTCAGCTCACTGCAACATCCACCTCCCAGGTTCAAGCGATTCTCTTGCCTCAGCCTTTCGAGTAGCTGGGATTACAGGCATGTGCCACCACGCCCAGCTAATTTTGTATTTTTAGTAGAGAAGGGGTTTCTCCATGTTGGTCAGAGTGGTCTTGAACTCCCAACCTCAGGTGATCTGCCCACCTCAGCCTTCCAAAATGCTGGGATTACAGGCGTGAGCCACAGCGCCCGGCCGACTAACTTTTTTAAAACCATTCTTTGTAGGGTGTGGTTTATAGAGTCATGCCTATAAATCCCAGTGCTTTGGGAGCCCATCTCGACAAAAAAAAAAAAAAAAAAAAAAAAAAAAAAAGTAAATTAT